TTTTTTTTTTTTTGCAGTTTCACAATACATCCCTTGCTAAAAACTGACTACTATCTCCAGACCCATTTTGGCTGATGGGTGGAGGATACATAGTGATGGTTTTTGTGTCCTTTGCTTTATCTTTTAACATTGGTGGCTGAAAACTCCATCCTCAGATTGTGCTAATGCCACCATTTTTTGAACATGCAACCCATGAAAGGTGCATGAAGCTCAATTGCACATGTACATATATTTCTTCTTTCATAAATATTCATCACTCTTCCTTTAGCTTATTAAGTATGCATATTTGGCCACCTTGCTCAGCATAAATTCCTGATCTCTTTACATTTCCCTCAAAGTGCTTGCTCTCAGCTGCTGCTGGAGGCTTTGCTTCCCAATCTGTAGGATGGCCACTCTACAGGCTGCAACCCTTTATGAGAAATAAAGCTTTTCTTTTCAAATTTATTCACCTCATCATTCTTAAGTTGGCACAATCCACATCTAGTTATTGCAGCTGTTATAAAAGAAACCAGTTGTCATTTTCATCATTCATCTTGGGAAATTTGTTAGCCAGATCCACCTTTTCTAGTTTTCCTATTATCACAGGTGACAGTTTTACTAAAATTTATGCCACTGTGCAACATAGATTTTTTTCTCCACCTTCCATACTGTTCCATAGCAACTTCCTTACTGTTCTTTCAGCCTCTATTAAAAAGGCCTTCTGAGGCCCTTCATGCATCCATTTCACTCTCTGGTCATGTTGCAGATGCCACAAATTTCTGTTCTAGTTGTCTGTTGTTGTTGTGTGATAAAACTATGCCAAACCTAGTGGGTTTGAAAAAACTACTGTAGTTTGTTTGTTTATTTGTTTGTTTTTGAGATGGAATCTCACTCTGTCATCCAGGCTGGAGTGCAGTGGCGCAATATCTCAGCTCACTGCAACCTCTGCCTTCTGGGTTCAAGCAATTCTCTTGTCTCTTCCTCCTGAGTAGCTGGAGTTATAGGCACTATGCCCAGCTAATTTTTGTATTTTTAGTAGAAATGGGGTTTCACAATGTCGGCCAGGCTGGTCTTGAATTCCTGACTTCAGGCAGTCCACCTGCCTCAGCCTCCCAAAGTGCTGGGATTATAAGTGTGAGCCACCGTGCCTGGCCTATTGTAGTTTTTATATAATTGTGTGAATCAGGAATTTTAGAAGGTTGCTTAGGTGGGCATCACATGGGGCTTCTGAGGCTGGAGAATCCAGGAATATTTGTTTATTTGAAGATACGGAATTTTGGTGCTCCTTTTCCTGGTATGGGTAATCAGTTTCTTTCCTTGCAGTATCTTGTTTTCTAGGGCCTCTTCCTCTTCCTTAGGCATTTCACAACATGGTGGTATCATGGTAGTCATACTTCTTATATGATGGCTGGTTTCCAAGAGGGAGCTCGTAATAATGAGTTATACAAGAGTGAGAGTTTCAACAGGCAGGAAGAGAGTTCTAGTCAGTTAGGCTGGTGCTTCTGCCTTATTGTATTTATCACAGCAATTAGAGGGGGCTCACCTAGACTTGAGATGCTAGAGAGACACTGCCTTTTGATACAGTGGTAGCAAGATCCTATTGCAAAAGAGCATATGGTTAGGAGGTATGATTGTAAACACCTTTGGACAGGGATGAAATTTCATTTTTCCCAAATGGATAATCAGTTGGCTTAGTACAATTTATTGAGCAGTCTATACTTCCCCATTCATCTGTAATGTCTGCTCTATTATAAATCATGTTTCTAAACAAAAGGATTTATTTGTTTTGAATTCTCTGTGTCTAGGCCCATGATTATAACTGGGGGCCATTTTACAGAAGACGTTTGGCAATGTCTAGAGAAATATTTGGTTGTCACAGCAGGTGTGTGTGTTGTGTGTAGGGTGCTACTAACATCCAGTGAGTAGAGGCCAGGAATGCTTTGCACTTAGCAGCATCCCCCAGTGCACAGGACAAAAAACTATCCAGCCCCAAATGTCAACAATGTGGAGCTTGAGAAACTATGGTCTCCACCATCAGTATTGCACTATTAGGTTAGCCTTGATATCCAATAGGAGAAGTCACCTCAATTTGTTTTTCTTTTTAAAGAATGGCTAATTTTTGGGCCTTTGCATTTCCATATAAATTTTAGAATCAGTTTATCATGTTTTTTATTTTTTTGTTGTAATTATATAGAAGGTTTTTTTTTTTTTTTTATTGTACTTTAGGTTCTAGGGTACAAGTGCAGATCACGCAGGATTTTTATATAGGTACATAAATGGCAAGGTGGTTTGCTGCTTCCATCGCCTTGTCACCTATATCTGGCATTTCTCCCCATGTTATCCCTCCCCAACAACCCCACCCCCTGCTGTCCCTACCCTAGTCCCCCCTTCAACAGACCCCAGTGTGTGATGTTCCCCTCCCTGTGTCCATGTGTTCTCATTGTTCAACACCCGCCTATGAGTGAGAACATGTGGTGTTTGATTTTCTGTTCTTGGGTCAGTTTGCTGAAAATGATGGTTTCCAGATTCATCCATGTCCCTTCAAAGGACACAAACTCATCATTTTTTATGGCTGTATAGTATTCCATGGTGTATATGTGGATATTTTCCTTGTCCAGTCTGTCATCGATGGGCATTTGGGTTGGTTCCAAGTCTTTGCTATTGTAAACAGTGCCGCAATGAACATTCATGTGCATGTGTCCTTATAGTAGAATGATTTATAATCCTTTGGATATATACCCACTAGTGGGATTGCTGGGTCAAATGAAATTTCTATTTTTAGGTCCTTGAGGAATTACCATACTGTCTTCCACAATGGCTGAACTAATTTACACTCCCACCAACAGTGTAAAAGTCTTCCTATATCTCCACATCCTCTCCAGCATCTGTTGTCTCCAGATTTTTTAATGATCACCATTCTAACTGGCATGAGATGGTATCTCAATGTGGTTTCGATTTGCATTTCTCTAATGACCATTCCTTTTCATGTTTGCTGGCCTCATATATGTCTTCTTTTGAAGCATCTGTTCATGTCCTTCACCCACTTTTGGTTGGGTTTGTTTGTTTGTTTTCTTGTAAATCTGTTTTTGTTCTTTGTAGATTCTGGATATTAGCCCCTTGTCAGATGAGTAGATTGCAAAATTTTTTTCCCATTCTGTTGGTTGCTGGTTCACTCTAATGATTGTTTTTTTTGCTGTGCAGAAGCTCTAGAGTTTAATTAGGTCCCATTTGTCCATTTTGGCTTTTGTTATCAATGCTTTTGGTGTTTTAGTCACGAAGTCCTTGCCTATGCCTACGTCCTGGATGGTTTTGTCTAGGTTTTCTTCTAGGGTTTTTATGGTGTTAGATCTTATGTTTGAATCTTTAATCCAACTGGAGTTAATTTTAATGTAAGGTGTCAAGGTGTAAGGTGTCCAGTTTCTGCTTTCTGCACATGGCTAGCCAGTTTTCCCAACACCATTTATTAAACAGGGATCCTTCCCTCATTGACAAGCAAGTTTGTTAATGTGTGCAGTGCACATCTCGTGGGAGAAAAGTAACTAGAAGCAGTGGCTTAGAGTCCTGGCTTATATAAGGTCTTCAACAAAGAGCAATAAATTTTAGAGAAGCATCAGGACACATGAAAGCAGATTAAGGCTTCCAAAGGTGGGAAGGTATGGGAAGGTAAATTTATGGGGAAACTAGTAAAGTCTGCTCAGTTGCCTCTGGTGCAGTCTCTAAGCTGATAAAGGTTGTAAAGGAGAATTTACATACTGTTTTGAGGCAGGAAAGAGGGAAAGATACAAAGACCTTTTGTCTTTGTATTAATAATTGTCCTGCTTTTAAAAAAGCAGAGGAAAGACAGAGTACTTTTCTCTATTTGCTTCGAATGGTCTTTAGCTCCAAAAAATTATGTCAAAGAGGAGTATTTTGAGGTAACACATTCTGTTTCCTTCAATACTCTTGTTTGTGATTCTCAAACTTCCCTTGAACATTATAGACATTTTAAAATTCTTTATTTTTGCATTTGCTTTGAGATAACGTATTTAGTTATTTGGATAATTTTTTTCTATGGATAACATGGACAAGATTTTTAAGCTGTTATTTTGGCTTAAGTAAATAAAAAGTCAAAATAAAAGTCAACAACCTACTGCCTTTTATATCAACATTAAGAACTAGAATTCTTACATTGCTTTTGCAGTACAATGTAATACATTGTATCCTTTTCTAACATGCCTACAGAAAAAGATTATCTGTAAAAAATATATATTCAATTACCTTTTTGTTCTTTATCAGTTATGGTGTAGAGCAGTTAAAAAAATTAAAATTTATGCAGACTTTTAGGTATTAATCCAAGGAGTGATACTGTTGATATATAGAAAGACTGGGAACAGCAGAGAGTATAGAAGTGCAGAATAAGTACTCTGCCACTTTCTAGCTCCTTTCGAGATGGGTTTCTAGACAGAAGCTTCAGTCTCAGTATGAAGTGCTAGATATTCAATGGAAAAAAAGGTTAATCTGTATTAGAAATTGTAATAAAAGTACATATTAGGCCAAATGACTTTTGTGTTAAGATGTTTCTTCCTTAGCAGGTATTACTGAGGATTTCTCTATAAATAATTTCTATATACAGCTTACTATGTATAAATTTTGGCTGGAGTTAGGAGGCAGTAAGGTTTTTAGCTGAGTGAAAGAAATGGCTTAGCCTAGCATATCATTAAGAACATCTTTGATCATGGGCATCACATGATAATAAGAGAACAAAGTTTGTTTATTTATTTAAAAATTTATCACATATTCAGTTCCTGTTTTTCTCCATACATGTTATTTGATGGGCATAATGAATGAATATTATAAAGAAAGCCATGTTATTGTTGGGTACAGTTAACCATGTGTAATAATTTGATTAAGTATGAGCTCATTTATTATCTGAATTAATAATTATTATATAAATTTTCAGGGACACAAAAGTGGAGACCATCATTAAAATATCTGTGTCTCCCACTGACTGCAGTAATAGAGAATTTCTTCTTGGGTTTTAGATTTCCTCCTTCTTCACCCCTGAAGCCATATCCAAAGAAACCCCCATACCAAAAGGATGTTATTAAATTTCCAGAATGGAATGATCCCCAACCAGGCACTTCACAGGAGAACATCCCGGTGAGGCCAGTTGTGATGGTAAGTGCCATGACTGAAAGACCCAAGGGGCTGGCAGTGGGGATATTCATACGTGAACTCCTAGGCTTTGTCTGTCTTTTTGTGGTCCTTTATGAACAATAGTTAGAAGGTAGTTTAAAACAAAATTATACCTGCCAACAGCTGAGAGACAAATAACAAAGAAAGACTGGCTCTTGCAGTTTTTCACTCTTGCATGTAAATTGTTATTGTACTGTATTGTTTAGGGTAGCAGTCCCCAACCTTTTTGGCACCAGGGATGGGTTTTGCAGAAGACAGTTTTTCCATGGACCAGGGCTGGTGGGATGGGGTGGGAGTGGTTTCGGGATGATTCAAGTGCATTACATTTATTGTGTATTTTATTTCTATTATGATTACATTGTAACATATAATGAGATTATTATACAACTCACCATACTGTAGAATCAGTGGGAATCCTAAGCTTGTTTTCCTGCAACTAAATGGTCCCATCTGGGGATGATGGGAGACAGTGACAGATCATCAGGCATTAGATTCTCATAAGGAGCACACAACTTAGATTCCCTCCATGCACAGTTCGCAAAAGGGTTCAGACTCCTATGAGAATCTAAAGCTGTAGCTGATCTGACAGGAGGTGGAACTCAGGCATTGTGTAAACAACAGAGAATAGCTATTAATACAGATGCAGCTTCACTTACTTGCCGGATGCTCACCTTCTGCTTTGTGGCCTAGTTCCTTATAGGCTATGGACTGATACCATCTGTGGACTGTGGGTTGGGGACCCTTGGTTCAGGGAATAATGATGAGAAAAAAAGTCTACATGTTCATTAGAGATATAACCATTTATTTTTTTCCCCCTGAATTTTTTATTTTTTATTTTTTTTTCAATATTGTACTTTAGGTTCTGGGGTACATGTGCAGATCATGTAGGATTGTTGCATAGGTACACACATGGCAATGTGGTTTGCTGCCTCCATCCCCCTGTCACCCACATCTGGCATTTCTCCCTGTGTTATCCCTCTCCGAGCTACCCACACCCACACTGTCCCTCCCTTGGCCCCCCACAACAGACCCCAGTGTGTGATGCTCCCCTCCCTGTGTCCATGTGTTCTCATTGTTCAACACCCACCTATGAGTGAGAACATGCCGTGTTTGGTTTTCTGTTTGTGGGTCAGTTTGCTGAGAATGATAGTTTCCAGATTCATTCATGTGCTTACAAAGGACACAAATTCATCATTTTTTATGGATGCATAGTATTCCATGGTGTATATGTGCCACATTTTCCTTGTCCCGTCTATCGTTGGTGGGCATTTGGGTTGGTTCCAGGTCTTTGCTATTGTAAACAGTGCTGCTATGAACATACATGTGCATGTGTCTTTATAATATATGCCTTTGGGTATATATCCAGTAATGGAATTGTTGGGTCAAATGAAATTTCTATTTCTGGGTCCTTGAGGAAGCACCATACTGTCTTCCACAATGGTTGAACTAATTTACACTCCCACCAACAGTGTAAAAGTGTTCCTATTTCTCCACATCCTCTCCAGCATCTGTTGTCTCCAGATTTTTTAATGATCGCCATTCTAACTGGCGTGAGGTGGTATCTCAATGTGGTTTTGATATGCATTTTTCTAATGACCAGTGATGATGAGCATTTTTTTCATGTTTGTTGGTCTCATACATGTCTTCTTTTGAAAAGTGTCTGCTCATATCCTTCGCCCACTTTTGGATGGGTTTGTTTGTTTTTTTCTTATAAATCTGTTTTAGTTCTTTGTAGATTCTGGATATTAGCCCTTTGTCAGATGGGTAGATTGCAAAAATCTTTTCCCATTCTGTTGGTTGCCAGTTCACTCTAATGATTGTTTCTTTTGCTGTACAGAAGCTGTGGAGTTTAATTAGGTCATTTGTCTATTTTGGCTTTTATTGCCAATGCTTTTGGTGTTTTAGTCATGAAGTCTTTGCCTATGCCTATGTCCTGAATGGTTTCACCTAGGTTTTCTTCTAGGATTTTTATGGTGTTAGAGCTTATGTTTAAGTCTTTAATCCATCTGGAGTTAATTTTAGTGTAAAGTGTCAGGAAGGGGTCCAGTTTCTGCTTCCTGCACTGCTAGCCAGTTTTCCCAATACCATTTATTAAACGGGGGATCTTTTCACCCGTTGCTTGTTTTTGTCAGGTTTGTCAAAGAACAGGTGGTTGTAGATGTGTGGCATTGCCTCCAGGGCCTCTGTTTTGTTCCATTGGTCTGTATCTCTGTTTTGGTACCAGTACTATGCTGTTTTGATTACTGTAGCCTTGTAGTATAGTTTGAAATCAGGTAGTGTGATGCCTCTGGCTTTGTTCTTTTTGCTTAGGATTGTCTTGGCCATGTGGGCTCTCTTTTGGTTCCATATGAAGTCTAAGGTGGTTTTTTCCAGTTCTGCGAAGAAGGTCATTGGAAGCTTGATGTGGATAGCGTTGAATCTATAAATTACTTTGGGCAATATGGCCATTTTTCACAATATTGATTCTTCCTAACCATGAGCATGGAACGTTTTTCCATCTGTTTGTGTCCTCTCTTATTTCCTTGTAGTTCTCCTTGAAAAGGTCCTTTACATCCTTTGTTAGTTGTATTTGTAGATATTTTATTCTCTTTGTAGCAATTGTGAATGGGAGTTTGCTCATGATTTGGCTCTTTGTTAGTCTTTTATTGGTGTATAGAAATGCTTGTGATTTCTGCATATTGATTTTGTATCATGAGACTTTGCTGAAGTTGCTTATCAGTTTAAGGAAATTTCGGGCTGAGATGTTAGGGTCTTCTAAATGTATAATCATGTCACCTGCAAATACAGACAATTTGACTTCCTCTTTTTCTAATTGAATACTCTTCATTTATTTTTTCTTGCATAATTTCTCTGGTTAGAACTTCCAATACTATATTGAATATGAGTGGTGGGAGGGCATCCTTGTCTAGTGCTGGAATTCAAAGGGAATTTTTCCAGGTTTTGCCCATGCATGATGATATTGGCTGTAGGTTTGTCATAAATAGCTTTTATTGTTTTGAGATATGTTCCTTTGATACCTAGTTAATTGAGGGTTTTTAGCATAAAGTGCTGTTGAATTTTATTGAAGGCCTTCTCTGCATCTATTGAGATGATCATATGGTTTTTGTCTTTGGTTCTGTTTATGTGGTAGATTACGTTTATAGACTTGTGTCTGTTGAACCAGCCTTGCTTTCCTGGAGTGAAGCCTACTTGTTCGTGATGGCTAAGCTTTTTGATGTGCTGTTGCAATCGATTTGCCAGTATTTTATTGAAGATTTTTGCATCTATGTTCATTGTAGATATTGGCCTGAAGTTTTCTTTTTTTGTTGAGTCTCTGCTGGGTTTTGGTGTCAGGATGATATTGGTCTTGTAAAATGATTCGGGAAGGATTCCTCTTTTTGTATCATTTGGAATAGTTTCAGAAGGAATGATACCAGCTCCTCTTTGCACGTCTGGTAGAATTCAGCTGTGAACCCATCTGGACCTGGACTTTTTTTGGTTGGTAGGGTCATTGCTGCCTCGACTTCAGACTTTGTTATTTGTGTATTCAAGGTTTCAACTTCTTCCTGGTTTAGGCTTGGGAGGGTGCAAGTGTCCAGGAATTTATCCATTTCTTCCAGGTTTACTGGTTTATGTGCATAGAGTTGTTTGTAGTAATCTCTGATTGTAGTTTGTATTTCTGTGTTATCAGTGGTGATATCCCCTTTATTGTTTTTTATTGCATCTATTTGATTCTTCTCGCTTTTCTTTTTTATTAGTCTGGCCCCTCGAAGATTTTCAGTCCCTAGTTGGTTGAATCCACACTTGCAGAACCCACAGATATAAAGGGTCAATTGTATATGGCAGCTGTTTTTGTATGTTCAGACTGAGCAGATTTCTGTTAAAACTCCCTTGTAATCCCCCTTTCTCATATGTTCTTTAATTTATTACCCTTCTTCTTTGTCTCTTCCTCCTAAACTTTGTTATTATTGCCAGTTGAGTGTAAGAAGGCTAGGGCATGGAATATTGTAGAATAGCTCCTGACCAAACATATGAACAAAGGTAGATTATTCTAGTCTTGGAAAACAGAAGCTCATTGTAGAATTGACTGCGTATTTTTTTCACATTTTTTCCTTAAAAAATATCCCCAGTAGAAGACTACCAAGATTGAGGTAATGCTTAGAAAACAAACAAAAAAAACTTCTCTTCCTTTTACCATCTTCAGCTGTCCTTGTGGAGCCTCTTTCAGATGACTAAGATTTGGGGGCTGCTTTTGAACATTACACTTACTTGATATTTTCTTACAAAAAAGACAGTTCTCAAAAGTAATATGTTTTAATTTTATTTTCAACAATCACTCAATCTGAATAGTGTGTGAATTTACATATGTATTCCTTAATTTTGAATTAATAAAATTTAATTTCACTGATTAGTTGAAATGTCCACAGGAAAAATTAGCTAGTTAATGCCATACTTATTGCCATAGCTCTTTTGTAATTCATGAATATTCATTTATAATGTGACCTAGTCTTAAGAATCATTCTTTACTTCTCTGAGATCTATGCAAAGAAAGTTAATTTATATTTCTAATTATTATTTTTAATCAAATTACAAGTAACCAAATTAAAGACATTTCTCTTAAAATCACACCACTTTATATTAAAATATTTATTCTCTCTCTTTCTACCCTTTCTCTCTTCCCTCCCTCTTGCATCCTCCCTCCATTAGAATTCTGAGATGTGGTACAAGCGTCACAGTATTGCTATTGGAGAGGTACCAGCTTGTCGTCTTGTTCATCGCAGACAGCTAACGGAGGCCAATGTGGAAGAGATATGGAAGTCTATGACGTTATCATAGTATGTACATTTGATATTGAGAAATTTTAGAGATATTGTTTCCTATTTTGCTACTTCCTCACTCTCTGCATACTTAATTTTCTGAAATTATGTATAAAAATCTCAACTTTGCATCATTTGTAGTTATGCTTAGGAAACATAATTTAACTGAATTCTGGAGATAATCGCTTTCTATTTATTTAACGTTAAATTAGGAGTTTAAAAGTTCTTATGCTTTCTAGTAACACTGACATCATAAGTGTAATAAAACACATAATAGAAAATGTGGTCTCTTAGGTATTGATGTACTATATGTATAAAGTTGACAGTCATACAGCAAAATTTTGTTTCTCATGAAGATATGCTAATAGTAGTTTCTTAGTGGATAAGTTAGTTTTTGTGTTATAGTATTTTTACTTACAAAATTACTTTCTTGTCATTTGGTGTGTTACTAAATCTGTGAAGCAAAATGTTAGTAGCAAAAGGATATTTTTTTACATTTGTTTTATTGTAATATTTATACCCTTTTTGCCTCACAAAGATTGGATGAAATTCATGAAAGTAAAGCATTCTAAAGATTGATCTTTTAGTGCCAGGTTTTTGAGTAAATGTAATCTTAAAGAAAGAACTAATTACCATAATGACTTATCTTTTAGTTTACAGAAAATTCTTGGCCTGGATTCCTTAGAAGAAGTTTTAGACATCAAACTTGTCAATTCGAAGTTCATCATCCATAATGTATATAGTGTTAGCAAGCAGGGAGTTGTTATTCTTGATGACAAGTCAAGTAAGTGCATAAGTATCATTTTGTTTCTTATTGACATAATATATTGGCTGCATAGGTCCATCAGCTCCTATTTGACCTTTCCCTAAACCCTGAAGAAGTTTGTTCCTTCATTACATATATTCTTTATAAAACCTTTAAACAAATTATTTGGATTAAGGGAATGTATGGAATGAATATATAGGAATGAAAGCCTCAGCAAAATCCACCCGGAAGCTAGTGCATTGTTAGTCACCTTGGACATTAAGGGATTCCGGGAAAAATCCCTGAAAAGTGAGTACGTTTAAGATGTAACTAAGAGCTTGAGTCAGTTTTCAGGTGGGTCCTGGGGTCTGATTGCATGTAGAATTCTCACTTATGTTTTTGTTTTGTTGTCTCTGTGTTAGATTCTCTGTGATAGTCTTGGTTCTTTTTAATAAGATAGTTTTTTTAATGCCGATGTTGCTTTAATTTTTTTATATTTCCCATCCTAGGCCAGTTTACAAATCAGAAAAAGAAAAAAAACCCAGGGGAAAAAAAGAACCATATAACAGCCACCTAACCTGGTTTTTGATTTGTAAAAATGCGGTTAGGGCACCTATAGTGGGTCACAGTCGCCACACTAATTTTAAATCTTCCTGTGGATTTAAAGGATTAGACCAGATTTGGATGGGCTCATTGATTTGTTCTTCCTTTAGTGTAAACCCTTGATGCTGGGAATTGGCTGGAACTTGATGACCTTTGGTTGTGGGAAGGTGGCATAATACTTTTTGAGTTTTTAAAAATATGATTAAATTTAGGGCTAGAGGCTTCTGGGAAGCAGACAGAATGTAGCAGAATAGCCTGAGCAGTGGTGAGAGGGGAAGAGGTTTTTCTAGGCCACATTTCCTGACAGGAGCAGAACCTATCTTCAAACCTGAAACACTTCTCCTCCTTTTATAGTTCCTGTATGAGGAATGGAGAACAAAGAAAGACAAATAAGTTTGTGATGACTTTATGAATTGTTAGGTTAATATCAACATATAAAATTAAGTTCCATAGAATCAGGGGGAGAGTATAGCCTTTGAAATACATCTAAAATTCTTCCACATTCTCTGAGTGCAGCAAATTAATACTTCTAGTTATCAGTTAGGTGACCAATCATCTTTCATTTTATTAAGTAAGATCTTAAGAAAGAAGAGAGCATTTAACAAGACTCTGGTTCATTAGATCTGACACAATTCAACAAGTATCTTTGCAGTTTTAGAGAAGTGAGAAGATGAAGTGGAAGCCTGAGTGCTGGCCCACCTCACCAGATGTCTGTGGCAGGGCCTGGAGGGAAGAGATTCTGTACCAAATGGTTTAGCTGGGATTTTTTTGTAGCAATGTTAGGTATTTATTATTTAAAGGTTGTCCTAATTCTAATAGCCTAACATTAATATGTCATTTGAACTTTCTTGGCCTAAAGCATTCTGAAAATGGAAACATGTAAAATGATACTTATATTGGACCTACAGAATTACCCTTTTTAGGAGGCTGGTGGTGTTTGGTGAACTTGTTTCACAAATGTGTTTGATGACTAATATTTTTTCTTTTCTTTTTCTTTCTGTAAGTCTTAAAATAGTTGGTTTGTCTTTTGGTTTGTTTGGAGCAAACTATACATTTTTTTCTTTTTTACTGTAGCTTTAATAGGTGCATTCTGTCCTTAGAGAAATTTGTAGGCATGATTTATTTGTAGTGCATGTTATAACACTGCTGCCAAGGAAAGATTTTCATCTTTTAAATGTTCTAATTACATAAATTGATGATATGTGATTAGCAGATATGGTTCATATTACCTGGGCAAGTAATACATTCTAATGATACCAAGTATATATATTATTTCTTGAGCTATATAGAATTGAATTAAAATCTTCTTTTTATTTTTCCTGCAGAAGAACTTCCTCATTGGGTGCTGTCAGCTATGAAGTGTTTGGCAAATTGTAAGTACTAATTATCTGCCAGTTTTGTGAAATTAACAGAAATTAGTTCCCTAAATTAGAAGAAATTTCTGCTCAATGGCCTGAACATTGATTTGATGCTTGTGAGACTGGCAGTTAATTATTTTGGGACTACTGTGCTTTTAGTGTTAAATTTGTGACTTAGTAAAAGGACTGAATTCTAGAACAGTTTTGAAGGAGTTTAATACTTCTACTTTCTAGTAGATTTTACTCACACTGTAGATAACATCTACACTAGTTCTAATTGCTTCATCACAGGATGAAGGATGGTTTAGAAGGAGAATAACCTACATGCAGAGAAACAAGAAATACTGTTGCAGTAATCTGGATGTTAGATGAGAAGGCTTGGATAAGAGTAGACACTGTGAGGATTTTTATAGGTATATGAAATCCATTTCATAGGCACATGATTTCCATATCTTTGAATGTCATAGGCACTGTGAAGGCCTATGGATATCAATGTTGTTATAATATCCCAGAAACACTACATTCTTCCGGGAATTTTCAGAAGGCTTAACCCAAAGAAGGGATTCTAATGATTAATGGCTTAACCCAAACAAGTAATTTTGATGGAAAGAGTTCTAATTATTTCGGCTGACTGATAACAGTGATATTTGATCTAGAGGGCCTTTTGAGTCTCACAGATACGACAAGGTAGTAGTAGTTTATTTTCTTTACTTTTGCACAGGATTAGCATTACAGATATAGGTGTAAATTCCCTTTAAATTTGTGAATTTGTAGACCATAAAATATGGGTTTAAATGGATCAGTTTTGTTTGATTATAGAATGAAACTAAAATAACTATTCAGCTTAATGTGGGAAATCTTAGTGGTAATATTTGGAACATGATCCTATGATTTTGAATAGCTTTTTGAAGATGAATGCTATTCATGCATTCTGTACTGTCCTTCTGTATATGAATAGTAACATTAGTTTATGTGAAGCCCTGTGTTTAATTATTAAGATTTTTACCGGTTTTTGGTTAAAATTTTGGAACCTCTGTGATGCAGAATACTATAATCTTAGCTTATGATCTTAGCTTGGGGAAGTGCTCTTTATTCTTCCTGCTCAGGCATTTGAAGTAAATGAATTTTAGTTACATCTTTGTCTAGGGTTGGCAATGATGTGATAGTATAAATGGGAAGTTTAAATTTTTCGTTTCTGAACTGGCAAACCAAGGATTTAGACTTTGATCAGCTAGCAATGAACATAGGAAGCCAGTATAACCAATCTAGCCTGCAGTATGTTGTAAAGTATATAGTAATTTGTTTATGATGTTGAAGTTTCAATGATGACTGAAATGTAGTAAAGAGCATAATTTTCCCTCAAGCAATATGTGCACCTTAAACCAAAAAACTTCTGCAGAAAGATTAGAATAACTGGAATTTCTTATCAATGGAGAGGAAAAATGTGAGAGGTAAATTACTAAAGATCTTCATGTATGTGAGGTGGTGTGACACTAGGTGGCAAGTGCTGGGAAAAAGGAACATGTCTTACATGTATCAAGCACAATGTTTTATGAGTGGTTGGCGTACCTGTAAAGATGTTTATTTATGTGTCAAACAAATAAAGTTGGCCAAAGGGCAAAATTAACCTTTCGAATAACTTATAAAGTTATTATGTTTTCTGAAATTGCTCCTGATCCTCAAAATATGCCTTGAGTTCACCAAAGTCAGACCTGTTTCTCGTCCTTCCTATCCTTAGTGAGTCCAGATTCCTGTTACAGTCATCTAAAAGGGAACAGAAAGGATAGGTTGATTGTACAGTATTTTGAAGACCTGTTGCCTCCTGTTTTGTTCCTGTGCTGCTCATGTCTTTCTTTTCCAGACCATTTGTGTATATTGTCACACCTGTGTGCACATGGGCCTGTATATGTTCATTGTTGGTTGGCCTCAGTGTCGGTTACATAAATGTAAAGCCAGGTTAACTGTGTTTTTCTTTTTTGTGCATGTTCAGGATTCAATAAAAAATAGATACAAAAAAACAAAGGATTTATTTTACAGAATTTGTCAGGAATAACATTTATTTTTAAAAATTAAAAATATTCTTAAAGTTCAAGATGACTAAGAAAGAAATGATCATAAAAATATGGCTTCCTCTCATAGGGCTCACTGTGCACTGTTTTAAAAAAAATTTTTTAAATTTTGCATATTTTTAAGAAGGATGGTGAGATGTTCACAAAATGGTACAACTGCTTAGAATGGACCACCTACTTATCCTGGCAGGGAGTAATTCTAGGCAAGTATATTGCTTGTTGAGACATATCAACCTAGTTATTTTAATTGATTAAGTTTGGGATATTTCAGAGGAGGAGGCAAGCAAAATGGGAGCTACCTTTGCTGTTGGATTCGTATGGTACCACATGCATTTCACAGTTTTAATTATTTTAACCAATCAACTTATTTTATAAGAAGAGACCAGAATATTGAAAGATAAGATAGTCTTTAAGGAGGCCAAAAAAGCCACTTGATCATGTTACAGTGACCTCAAAATGTAGGCCCCAAATGCTTTAATGTCCTTTTTAGCTTGATCCTCTTTCTTTAGTTACAGAAATTCTGTAAGAAGAATTTGTTTCAATTTATCTTGGCTGCTGCTTTTGCTCCTCTGAGGGTAGAGGTCTATTTGGGTACAGTTGTTTAGTCTTCTGTTGGCCCAGAACTAGCCAATGCAGATGTGGTCCTTTCTTTCATGCTGTAATGGTAACAGAGAAGGCTGGCTACACTGTTCCTCATGGGACCACTTGCTATTTTCCTCGAGGTGCAGGCAGCTCCAGTTCATCTCTTAACTTGGCAGGTGTAAATCTGTGGTCTGTGGATGGATTGCCGGGGCAGTTGTTGCCAACTTTGTAGAGAGCATTTCTTGTTCCTCTTTGGGCCAGACACAAGTGGATGTTTTTTTTGCTTGTTGCTGGAATAAGATATGGTTGGGACCAGGCTGTTTCAGGGTTTCAGTGGTTGCTTCAACTTTGCAGTATGACTTTGCTGATAAACTGTCTTTTGATGGTTGGTCAGAGATCAAATAGAGAGTTTATTATCAGAATGAATTTAGACAAAATATAAAATCCCCTTTTCAGGATTTCTTTTTTTAAGTTTAAATATTTGTTAGTCTGAAGTACAGGCAGAAATTCATTATTTCACTCAACTCTATGACTGTAGGATTTTATAATAGAGGAATGATGAAATAATTAAAAGCTTTAAAAATTGCTTTATAACTTGTCTATTACATATGTGAGCTAATTGTTATCTTAGTCAATTATATTAAGACTAGGATAATATTGAATATTCCAAAGAAAGTTATCATTGTTTACATTTAACAAAAATGCCTTTCAGAACAATGTTTTTTAAGAAAGGTTTCTTTTAAAATGGAACTTAGCCAGTGATTTTCTTCATTGTTTTATAATAGATTTCAATTTAGACACAAAGCATATTTGTGTAAGCAAAATGTAAATGTCTATTTAATTAATATCAATGTGGAATGCCTATTTAATTAATGTCAATTTTCACCATAAAAACTTTTCTGTATATGTCAAATATATGAATATCTGTACACACCACACATATTCACAGAGAATAATACTTAGAGGTAATTATTCCATTAATGCTTCTTTTTCACTCTTTTTCAAAATAGGGCCCAATAGTTGTGATTTGAAGCAGCCTATGTACTTGGGATTTGAAAAAGATGTCTTTAAAACCATAGCTGATTACTATGGTCACTTGAAAGAGCCTCTGCTAACATTTCATCTTTTTGATGCTTTTGTCAGTGTACTGGGTAAGTTGGAATATAATGAACATCTATCTACATGACTGATATTGAATCATTTCATTTTTCACTATCTTGAGACTTCCATTAGCCAAAGCTCATGCCATTTTAAAAATAAAAACTGACAGGGTATTTGGCATAGCTAGAGTCTTGCTCTGTTGCTCTGTAAAGAAGTAAAAGAAAGTGGTTAAGCTCTATTATGAAACTCAAAGCAAAGAGTTTTTGCTTCTTAGGAAAGAATATAATATGTTGCATGTAATTTTTACTCAGAAGAGTATAACATTATTGACCGAGGAGAATGTAAGTTTGACATTTACTTACATTACTCTATTATTCTGGCTATTACTTCATGAATAGTCAAGTATGGAAGGTGTATTTTCATTTAGAAATCGAATTTCTTTTTATAGAAGAAACAGATTTTTGTAGGACTTTATAATTTGAGACATATAAAATAAATATACTAACTTTATCATTCATTGAAACTTGTAGCTATTCCTCATATAGATCTATACTTTAGAATTTACACTGTGAAAACAACATGGTAGAAGGGAAACAAAATCAACATTATTTTTATAGATCTTTCTGATATTTCTTCTTGGAAATCAGACTTTCTTGCTCTTGTAATTGTTCAATAAGTATTATTGTTTTCTTGTCAAAAGTTTTGCTTTAAGGGCCAAATTATTGTGTGGGTGTTATACTCTGTTAGGTAAAGTTGTAGGAATTAGCATACTTTTGTTTTTGAATGTTGTTGGGTTTACCTTTCACTCTCCCTTTCACTTCTTCCATTGCTTACTCTTCTTCCTCCTCCTTCTCTATGTCTTTATTTCATTTTGGAAACTATGGATGCTGCCATTGCATCATAAAATATCAGCAATATATGAATAAGTTACTTGATCTCATGAGAAGTACTTTGGATTTTAAGCTTTTGTAGATTTTCTGATAATAACAAAATACAATGATTATCAATCATGTAAGTAAGAGTCAGTGTTTTCAGACAGAACAATATTGGAACAAATTAAAGGATTAGGCCTATTACTGGGTTTTGAGACTACTGCATCTTTTTGGTATTTTGATTCCAATTAAGGAGAATTGGGGGCTCATGGACTTGTGAGCATCATGCATAATGAGGCATATTTGCTGTTTCTTAGTATGCTTATGAACTAATTGGGTAGATTCCTATTATAGCTACTGTATTAGTCTGTTCTTGCATTACTATAAAGAAATACCTGAGACTGGATAATGTGTAAAGAAAAGAAATTTAATTGGCTCATGGTTCTGCAGGCTGTTCAAGAAGCATGGCAGTGTCTGCTTCTGGGGAGGCCTCAGGGAGCTTTTACTCATGGCAGAAGTCAAAACGGGAGCAGGTGTCTTACATGGCAGAAACAGAATCAAAAGGGTTAGGAAGGTGCTACACACCAAAAGGGTTAGGAGCTAACTCTCACAATTGCAGCAATGTCACCAAGGGGGATGGTGCTAAGCCATTAGAAACTGCCCCCATGATCCAGTCACCTCCCACCAGCCCCACCTTGAACATTGGGGTTTACCTTTCAACATGAGATTTGGGTGGGAAGCAGATCCAAACCATACCAGCCACTTACTGCCTTTATGCCAACTGGTAACATAAGAGTTCTAAAGATTGTATTAAAAATAACTTCTTAGATTTCCTTCTCATTTTCTATAATTTCCATAGTAAAATTATCGGTTTTAGAAACTTCTAAAAAACAAATTCCAATTTGTATCAGTTATATTTATGATGTCACTGCTCTATTCTGTCATAATTGTTCATTTTGATCTCAGCTAAGAATGGAAGCTGACTGTTTAAAGCTGATTCAGTTAGTATCAGAGTCAGCTGCCCTCTAATGTATCATCATTAGAAGCTTTAAGGTGGAATAACGATGGGCAGATTGGGGGAATTTATTGCCCTCAGGTATTAGCAGGAATAGACTAATGCATGTGGATGGTAATACATTAACCTTGCCTCATACAGTCCTGTTCAAGTGAATATATTTGAGATAACCTACACCAAAAACTATTTTCTTAGATCCTTAGGTAATAGAAGAAGAAAGAAGAAAGCCTTCTAGATACAGAAGACCATAGTTTGTTTATGTTTGACAAAGATTATCTAATATAGCAATCCTGTTAGAGTATGTGGGGAAAGGTAAATATCTAGATATGTAGCTTGGATCCCAGTGGGGTTGACCCATCCTCTAAACCTTTTACTTACTTTGATCAGAATAGGATGTCAGTAAACAATTTTAGAGTAAATAATAAGTCTACTTTGTGTCGAAGCTAAAAATTCTACATCATTTTCAATGAAAATGATGTTCAGTTTCGTTAATGAACTTCTTTTGATATTTCTTCCTTTGATTGTGGCATGGTTGGGCTTGGTGGCAAAGCTGTGTGAAAGCAGTTAGTCATCACTGATACATGAGATAGGACATCTAAAGGTTTTTTAAAAAAATACTTGATAGTGTTTGGAGATGTAAGACTTATTTGTTACTTATAATAAAAAAATATTTAATTTGGCTTAGCTGTTTGACATACCAGTTTGACTCCATTGTAATTGATCTTCATTTCCAAAATAGCAATTCCTTGTAGTAAGATCAGAGCTCGGCTGACTTTTGAATGGGGTGATTGTGATAGAGGAGCATTCTTTACTCACACTCCGCACCCAACCTAGAGTCCGTTGAGATGTGTAGCATGCAATAATATGACATATTGAGGAAAAGAGGGAAGCATATAGGAAGCAGAAAAGGCCACACGAGCAGGGTAGGCTGTTGTGGAAAATTGAGGGACTTGTATGTTATATAATATGGGAGCCCACACTGTGGGCCAAATATGGTCCACATAAATTCACCATGAATATGTCTGATTTGACCTGTGTTTTTAAAAAGATAATTTAATTAAATTGCCAATTTTTAAGAAATAGGAGATTCACATAAGAATTCATATTTCTGGCTTTTTAAGAAAAATGAGAAGATCTGGCAGGCTTGGGCTTGAATTTTTGGTGGCACAAACTGCTGCAGCTGCATAGTGAGTGCTTCCGCTAGAAGCAGCAAGTGTTTAAGGGGCATGAACTTTGATTTGCCAAATCTCTCATATTCCTCATTGCTTCTCAGATTCTGAAGCCAAGTTCACTTGATTCTCTTCACTTATTTATTTCATTTCACTGTGTCCCTAGGCAGTTGAGCTTGCAACTCCTGGTTTATTTGCTAGGAGGCTGGAATACTGAGATAATAGCTCTTTGTTGTTCTCTTTCTCCAAAATGTTAAATATAGAAAATGCCATAGACATTCACTAGATTGATCATGCACTAGATCATTCAACTCAATAGGTTGAGATCTTCCCCTGTGATTTTTAACCTAGAAATATCCGTAAGGTTAGGTTTTCCATTCATTGGATCTTTTGTCTAGTTTAAGGAGACCCTCTGGGTCTGTGAAATCTTTGCCTTATTACCACTCTGCCCTCATGTTCTTCAAGTTATTTCAGGGTCTCTCACCCATGGTAATTCTTAAGGGAAAAGAATTCTTTCGTTTTTCAGAGAGTGCCTAGTTTGTGTGCTTAACCAGATGGAGGGCTCTTGCCCATGTTAATCCAAAGTTCTTGCTGATGGTGCTGTCAGAACCTAGGGCTTATGGCTGGAGCTTTTTAGTTTGTTTGTTTGTTTGTTTGTTTTTGTTTTTGATTTTTGAGATGGAGTTTCGCTCTTGTTGCCCAGGCTGGAGTGCAATGGCATGATCTTGGCTCACCGCAACTTCTGCTTACCAGGTTCAAGTGATTCTCCTGCCTCAGCCTCCCAAGTAGCTGGGATTACAGGCATGCGCCACCATGCATGCCTGGCTAATTTTGTATTGGCTGGAGCTTTTAAAGATACAGATGGGCCAAGGTAAGGATTTTGAATTACCTCAAAACCTAACGATTCCTGCCTACCATGATTGTTAGAATAAAGTGGAGTTAGGTACATATTAAAGGTGGAAATTTAGGGGGATACTTAGGTATTCCCTGGCTATAACTAAATTCGCAACCTATTTTTTAAGAGCATTGAGAATGATTTATTTTCAAGATTCATGACTGCAGATAATGTGTGGTCAGCAAGTGGTCACAAAGGAAATCCACTGTATATATCTGACTTGGAAGGAGAAAACACTGATAGGACAGTGAGTTCATTGGCTTTCTTATTCAGACCATGCATGCCAGTGCTTCTGTCTCCTTCTTTGCCCTTGCTTGTTCTCTAGGCAGATTAAATTCTTAGAAGAGTGCTGGTCACCCAGAGATTACAGATGTGCAAAAGTTGGCTTTTAAAGTTTATGTCCCATAATTGGATTTTTCACTGCTGCAAACTCTACTGCATGCCACTGTCTGCCATTTGCCCATGCCTGTCCTAAGTTGCCTTTTCTACCTTTCCCTTGGTGTAGTAGCTTTTAGTCCCTGTCTCACACAACCAACACTGGGCTTCTTGGGTTTGTGGGTGTAATCTGCCCTATACTAAAGGGGCACTATACTATTTATTTCTGAGGCATGATTTCAAATAAAATGGTATTTTATAGTCTTATTAGTGGGAAATTACTTTCAATTAGAATTCTGAGTAATTTGCACATAATGTTTATAACATGAAGGAAAAATGGCAAGCATTTCACTAACAAATAAAAGCCAAGCTCACAAGACTCTGCCAGAAATGAATTCTAAGAACACTTTCTTTATCATTTCTCCTTTCAGCTCACAAATCTACAGGCCGGTGATTTAGCCTGGGCAGCTCTTCAGGTCTCAGCAGGGCTCACTCCCAGGACTACAGGACAGCTGGCTGTTGGTTTGGGCCTCCTAGGACTGGAGGTTGGCTGGAGGGACTCAGTTCTGCTCCACATATCTCCCTCCAGCAGGCCAGCCCTGGCATGTTCTCACCGTGAAGGCAGAGCTTCTATTGGAGTACTTGCCTCCAGCTACTTTTTTTTTCCAAGCCTCCAACATAGCCTTCCCAAGTCTACTTCACAGTTTCTCCACAAGAATCCAGTCATTTTCTATGTAGTAGAGAGATAGTCTTTTAGATCCTCTTCTTGGCCATAGGAAGTCACCAGAGTAGGGAAGGGAAGAAGAGGCGATGAAGGCCAGCTCCTCTTGGTAAAGTGTGAGCACTACTGGAAAGTACCTACCACAGAGTAGGCAGGAGAGCAATGTCAAGGGTGAGCAGTCCAGGCTCTAGAGATAAGTAGACATGGATTCCAGTCTGGGCTTCTCCACTCACTGTGGGCAGGTTATTTATCCCCTAACCTCAGATTCCTCAGAAAGGAAATGAGTTGATGCTATTAGTACTGCCTTAAGGCCATTTTGAAGGTCAGATACACACAAAGAGCTTAGCACAGCAGCTGGCACACAATAGGCACTCAAGGAAATGATGATTGGGGTATACTTAGGTGTATACATAATGTAGGCTTTAAAAGGGATCCCCTGGCCCATGGCTTATACTGCTGACATCAGGACAAGAACAGGGACAAACATTTCCCTGACTTCTCTTCACTTCCAGAAGTCCACTGGCAACTTGCCTCAGTCTCCTGTCCCCATTATTACCACACTCACTTAAATCCTAGACCTGGACATTGCGTTATCCCCACGGCTGTGGAGCTCTCAGTTCCCTAGGCCGACTGGTTCCACAGGGACCAAGCCTAGAGGTACCCCTGCTAGTTTGTCAGTGGTCCCTAGTGGCCAGATGTCCAAGGCCCTGGGCACTGAGTGCTCTGGAAGCCATGGACCCTTGAAGCAAGGCCTGTGCTGGGCACTGCAGGAGACAGAAGCCAGGTCACTGCTTTCGGCTTTGGTCCTGTGGGGCCAGATGCACCCATGGCTCTTAGGCAGGAGCAGGAGGTTTCGGGCAAACTTCCATGTGGCTGCTGGGCTTGATTTCGCAGAGGGAGCACTCTGGCCAGGTGGGTGGGGCAGAGTGGGACCAGGGTGCCTTTGCTCAGGCTCCAACTGAGGCAGGTGGCCTGGCTGGCTGCTTGTATCGCAGCAGCCTCTTTCCTCAGCATCTCTGTGGTGGTGACATCAGTGATCCTGGTACCTGGGATGATGCCTGGCAGCCAGTTTGGGGTGAGGAGTGGCTTCCAGGATGCAGGCGTGGAGTGCTCCAGCCAAATGTCACCATTGCCATGGCCCCATGTGCTCTGAGTGGCCTGGGCCGTCCTCATAGATGGCCTGTTAGTGCCCCTGGTGCCCCAGGCTCAGGCAGAGGGCCCAGTGCACAGGCACTCTATCTCATAGGGAATTAATGAAACAGCAACAAAATAGACAAATTATTCCACTGGTTCTTTATATAGGTTCCTTCCACAGCTTTGGAGAGTGAGGGTGTCTCCTCATCCTCATTAACACAGGACATCATTCATGTTGAATAGTTTTGACATTATGTACACCAGGAATGGGTTTAGTGAATAGGGAGATCCCCAGGATAGCCAGGATGGTTACAAAAATGGCAAAGTTCGGATGGTGTGCTTCACTTATTAATCTAGGACAGTCAGCAGCCACCAACCCGTTTTCTGTTTTATGGGTGAACCCTGTGATCCTATAAATAAGGTTGGTCACAAGTCCAGTGAGACCCTAGAGCCCCCTGTTGACTAACTCTTTTATAGTAGATAGCAAGGAGGAAAATAGCTATAATTGGAGGCCCAAGATAATGGGCAATTTATTCTGTGTAATAGAAGAGTGGCCCATTTGGCGATATCTGTGCAAATAGGACCCATATGATGCAAATGAGCCTCATCTGGATGAGAAATAACCTAGAGAGTCCTCCTCATCACTATCCTTTCCAGAATCCACTTGCTGTCCCTGGCAGCTGATAATATATTGTCAGTGCCTTCTTCATTTTCAGATCTGGTTTCCACATGATCCTTCCAGGTAGCTAGAGAGTCCTCCCCATCACTTATACTCTCCAGAATCCACTCAGGGTCACATGAAGTCATTGACATGTAGGAACAATCTTCCTCATTTCTGCTGAGAGATCCTCAGGAGGAGCTGATGAGTCTTTGTTGTTACAGCTGCTCTCATAGATGATGTCCAGGGGCTAATCAGACTCATCGATTCTTGAGGCTGCTATGGTCTTTCATGGGACCTTCTTCAATGCCTAGTAATGAGGAACCTGTTTCAATATATCCTCAACAGGAAGGTTTTTGCTTGCTTTTGAGTCTACCGTGACCACAAATGAAATCTCCTCCTGTGACCTGTCACCTGGAGGCTCCTCCACCAGGTCTTCAGTGTGAGCTTCAGTGAATTTTTTCCCAGGGTGTATTCTGTTATATGACTAGATGTGGATTTTTTTTACCCACTGCTTGGGGTGGGCAGCAGATCTGGACCACTAAAAACATGTTCTCATATTCTCAAGGCAAAATTCTGAAGAAATCATAAAACTATACGCACTGTAAAATGTTCTTTGCAGTGGCTCACATCTGATGCAGTCTTTTAACATTATCCACAATGAGGAGGTATTTCTGGAGGCTCACACCCTTTCAATAACAGAGGCACAGTATTCTGCTGGGTACAGAAGTCTTCAGCAGTAGGAGTTCTTGCACTCATTTGTCTTCTGAGAGTGTTGTTGAAAATTTGAATATGTCTTTTTGGCTCTCAAGGTCAGTGAGCTGTGATCAGCTCCCAAGTGTTAAAGAACCCATGGTTGCAGAATTCCTGGGTAAGTTGAGTGTACCTTCAGTCTGTGGCTGGTTTTTATTTGTGACTGCAGAATTTCTTTCATGGCAACCAGAGTTTTGGAAACTTCTGTAGCCTTTTCTGCTTTTTTGTTTTGGTTTGGTTTGGTTTTTGGTTAGAAATGCCTTTCATTTCTGGAACAGCAATGCTCTCCAGGGCTTGCACAGGTCATAAAAATTCATGGAATCGTGTCGTTGCAGCAACATGGTGGACTATGTAAGAAAAATACCCTGAAGAAGCAGTACAGAAGCTCCCTTCTCAGTAGTCAGGGACAGGGTCAGGGATAGGAGCTGTTTTTTTCCCCAGAATAGGTCCCCAAGTCATCCCAAAGCTGCATGGCACCCTCAGGCAGATCCTGAGGAGGCCTACACAAGCTATTTATAAGTATATAGTGATCACTAGGATAATTCATAGAACTTTTGGGAAAGAAATTTAAGACCTTTCTCCCACCATTTCAGCAGGATAAATTCCAACTGGATTAGAAAATGAAATGTTAATAATGCAAATAAATACATATTTATATCTGTATATAAAATACAGTTGATATTTGACTGGTGGATAAAGGACTTTCTAAGCATAAAAGTAAAAAAAGTCATAGAAATGCTGTAGCAGTTTGAGACTCTTTATGCAGGAAAGGGCATCAATATGTGCATAGATGAATCTGTATCTAATTTTAAACAATTCCCAAAGTGCCTGTTTTCTTTTCTTTGAATATCACTGGAGAAATAGTTCCTCTTGCTATGTCTTTCTTTAGGCAAGATTTTTTACTAATTGATGTGTAGTCTGAATCCTGGCTAAATATAAACCTTTTCTTTTTTATACCTGTTCTTAGTGAAAATGAAACTGTGACTTTTTTTTATTCCATTGGTTGGTCAAAAACTACAAAGAACTCTTCTAAGTTTCTTCTCTGGCTGAACAAACAGTGGTCCCATTGGCCTTTCTGGGAACTCCAGGCCCTCTCAAGAGCCTTCGTATTTCATTTCTTTTCAAAGCTCTCAAAAGGAATAGCTTGCTTTTGACATTGTACATGTCAGTGGAAAGATAAGGTCTACTTTGCAAAAATGAAACAGTTATGTTTCTAATGATTTGGAAATAGAAATCTGATGTAGTTATTGGATATTGGGAAAGAGGGTGACAAAAAAACCCAAAGCACTTAACAATTCTGATTAATTCACTTAACCTCTAATAATGTAGTACACTATACATTTTCATTAATTTTGATTGTATTTATGTGTATCATAGGAACAGTTGGGTTTCCTTGAGTGATAAATTATTTATTCACTTATTCCACTTCAAGTCAGCTAAATAATTGTTTCCTTGGTTGAAAAAGTCTCACAGATTGATCGCTCAAGTTATTTGGTTGGATTGTTTATGCTCATTTATTTATTTATTCTTATTTCACCAATGAAAATATCACTAAGTTCCTTGGTTTGTTGACCTGATTGTACCTACTTTGACAAATCACTCCCTTTCTGGACCCAGTTTTCTCATTAAGTGGCAGTGATACCTGTCATAATTAAAGATATGAAAACATGAAAGTTAAATTATTGGGTAATAATGTTCCTCCTATCTTTTTTTTATCTTGAAAAATAAAAAAATTGAGATAATGCATTAGTTAAGATGAAATAATCACATATTGATATCCAGCCAATTCTTCTCTCAAGTGATAGGAAGCTTTTTATGTTAAACTACTTATGATAGACTTTAATGATCTATAATTAGAGAAAGAACTGTTATATCATTTGGATATGCAAGAAACAAGTTACCTTTGGGGCTATAGAGGCCCTTGTCCTCTTCTCAAAAGAAGGAAGAATAAGCATTTTGATGATGATGTTGAGATTGTAGAAATGATGAAGGTGAAAAAGTTATTCTAAGCTATGTTTAGCAAAATGAAATGAACCCAAATAATAAAACAGTTACAACATTGAATCTCTTTGGTTAAAAAAAAAAAAAAAAAAAAAGAATGCTAATATCCTTCAGAAGTTCTTAAACCAGAACCTAAAAAAAAAAGAAAACTTTTAAAAAATCAGTAATAGTTTATGATCTTGAAGGGCTTCAAAGTATTTGATGAAGATGTCTCTTGAACTTATCTATAGGCCTTCTTGTGTATTTAAAAGCTAAGTTCTCTTGTATTAATTTTTTTCCCCCTGAATTCTGTAGTATACCTTTGTCAGTAAAAAACCTAATATTTCAGATTTGGATAAATAAAGGCAGTACTCATATCTAATTGAAAGGGAAATATAACATAATTTAATAAATATATATAAATATTAATAAAATCTATCTTATATGGTAGGTTAATAAAAGAGAAGAGATTAAGCAGGGGCTTAGAAATATAAACAAACTTTACAAAACTGAATGGATTAGCTGAGTGTTGGGGCATACACCTGTAGTTCCACCTCCTGGAAGGCTGAAGCTGGAGGATCCCTTGAGCCCCGCCCAGGCAACAAAGCAAGACCATATCTTTTAAACAAAACAAAAATGATTGCAAGAAGATTTTCTAGAAACTAGAAAAGAGAGCATAAAAAAACAAAAACAAAAGAAAACCTCTCAGGAATTAAAGTGATATTTTAAAAGTTTGAGTTGTTCATTTATTGACTATGGGCATGACCATTCTAAAGTTAGAAATGATAAAATCAAGGCTCAGATGGAGAAATGCATGATGCTGTTTTTTAGAACCATGCTCAGAAAGATTTGGTGAGTTTAAAGAAACAAGTTTAGACTTCTCTTGTCCTCTTTTTTTAGGAATGAAAGAGAAAGGAAGGACATATTTATAAAGGCATAAATCCCCTTTGTCCCCTAGACCACAGAGGTAGAGCAGAGAATTATTCCTGTAAACCTTGAAAACTGAAAGTGCAATATAGTTGCAATTTGTGACTATGTATCACTGGCACAAAGGACTTAACTGATTAAAATACATCAATAAGTAATCTCTTGTTTGGTCATGCAGGAATGCTTAAAACCTCAGAGCCAATTAATGGCAAAACAATGACCCTACATCTGTAATATATATACATATATAACAGTCTTTTTTCATGGACTGTCTTAGTTCATTTCATTTTGAGGACATAGTTGTTGAATGATTTCTGTGTCTCTTTGACATTATATTAAGTATTCATAATACTCAAGTGACTTAAAAAAGTAACTTCCTCTTGAGAGGCTGAGGTGGATGGATCACAAGGTCAAGAGATTGAGACCATCCTGGCCAACATGGTGAAACCCCATTTCTACTAAAAATACAAAAATTAGCTGGGCGTGGTGGTGTGCGCCTGTAGTCCCAGCTACTCGGGAGGCTGAGGCAGGAGAATGGCTTGAACCCAGGAGACAGAGGTTGCAGTAAGCCAAGATCACACCACTGCACTCCAGCCTGATGACAGCGAGACTGCGTCTCAAAAAAAAAAAAAAAAAAAAAAATTAACTTCCTCTTATGGCTATGATATTTTAATCTTACTGGGACAGATCATTCTGTATTATCTGTTGATCTCCTTGCTGCTTCCATGATATCCCCTTGACACATCTCTATTCTTGTCTTCACATTGCTTTATGATGACTTATGTCTGTCTTCACCAGACTGTGAGCTTCTTAAGAACAATCTTTGTCTCACTAAGTTTTAGATTCTCAGATCCTAACACAGTCTTAGAACATTTTAGGCTCTTTTCAAACATTTGTTGAATGAATATATTAATGATTCCCAAAGATATACTTCAAGTGGTTACCTGTCTCCTAAATTCCAGTACTGCTATCCTCATCTGCCTGTTGAATATTTCTACAAGTCAACTATCTTTCACAAACCCAAACTGCTGCTCTGCTATGACAAATCAGCAGCCCCTTGGGGTTCCACTGTTTTTGAAGTAGGCCCCCTTAAAGCTGAAGATTCACAGTTTATTTGTTCATAATTGCTCTATCTTAGCACCCTATTTTAAGATGTGTTTTTGTTATGCAGATTTTATAAGGGTCAAATCATGGTCTTCAAACTGATTTAGAGAAATTGAAGTCTCACAGTGAATATCTCATGAGAAGAGAAGCATAATGAAGACTGCAAAAAAGCAATGCGTTTTAAAAGTAGCATGTAGCTCTTGTGTGTGTATAGCACAAGAGAGACTTAGAAGAGTGATGGTATCTCCCAGGTGTCACACTTTTATTTTGTATCCTTCAGTTGTTGTGGAATGATGGAAACCATAGTGATATCATTGACATTTTTAGAGTTTTCATAACACTATTCTTAGCCCACATTTGATCTTGCATTTCCTCAGACCTTTCACCAATTTTCTTTTAAACAAATTTTTAAATTTTATAACAGTCTCCAGTTTATAAGAACAGCTGTAGTACACTCCAAATAACTTTTTTTTCTGAACCACTTGAAAGTAAATTGCTAATCAAATGTTCTGTCACCTATAAATTCTTCTGTGTGTTTTTCCTACAAACTAGGTCACTCTCCTACAGGACCAACATACAAGCATAAAAATTAGGAAAGTAACACTGAGTAATTACTATTAGATCCCATTCAAGTTAGCCAATCATCCCAAGTTTCCTCAGTTTTGGTTTGTCTGATGTTTCCTCATGATTCGATTCAGATCTTGCATTTTTGGCAGGTTATAACAGCCATAATGCTATATTATTCTCATTATGTCCCATCAGGTGGTACACAATCTTTTGTCCCATTACTGGTGATGTGCACTTTATCACTTGATAAGGTGTTGTATCTGTCAGGGTTGTCCACTATGTAGTTATACTTTTTCTTTTTATAATTGTATTTTATGGGATGATAACTTTGAAAAATGTATTAGTCACTTTTCCCACATTAGACGTTCAATTTACCTAGCAGTATGGACTCCTGACTTTGTATTTTATTCACTGGGTAATAATTCGTTGCCTGATATTCAAACTGTCTTAGATTTGGCCAACAGGAGGCCCCTCAACCTGGCTCCTATGTCTATTTGCCACTTCCCCATCATTCTCAGATGACTTTCTTTTATTATTTTCTTACAGTCTCGCTCTATTGCCCAAGCTGGAATGCAGTGGTGCCATCATAGCCCACTGCCACCTCAAACCCTTGGGTGTAAGTGATCCTCCTGCCTCAGTTTCCTGAGTAGCTGGGATAACTGGCACTTGCCACTGTAGCCAGCTAATTTTTAATTTTTTTGTAGAGAAGGCTCTTGCCATGTTTCCCTGGCTGGACTTGTATTCTTGGCTTCAAGCACTTCTCCTACTTTGACCTCTCAAATTACTGGGATTACAGGCTTAAGACATTGTGCCCAGCCATGTTTTTTTTACATTTTAATATTTCAGGCTCATCTTGTACATGCTTTTTTTTTTCTCTTGGAATTATTGTTTTGGGGTATTGCTCATGGAAAGAACAAAATTCTCAAACAACACTAAAAAGTGACCCTGCAATTTGATTTTCAAACTTCCATTAAATGTAGTATTTGTGGGGATGAATGTGGTTAAATTGGCAAAACAGTAATATAAGACATCTGTGTGTCCACCACTCTGATTTGCATTGTTTCTGTGACATCAGCGTGTTGACATCTAGAAGCAGAATTGTTAGATTGTTTGGTATTTACTTCATTACTAGATCTAGCAAATTGGTTTCCGGAGTAGGTGCAGCAATGTATACCCGTTAGTAGTATATTCCTATCAGTATTTCCTTATCAATTTTTGATTTCTTCAATTTTCTGGTCTGATGGATGTGAAAAAAAATCTTACTGCTGTTTATATGTCATGAGGGTTTTTTCTTGGATGAAATACTTTTTCTATCCATTACTCAGTTTTTGGTGGGGAGGGGAGTTTCTTTTTTTGTCATTCTAAAAATATATTCTGGATATAATCTTTTGCACCCTAGTCTCAAAAATACTTTCTAGTCTGTGGCTTATCTTTTTATATTAATGAAAATATAAAGAACTTCCATATTTAAGTCAAATTTGTGGGTTTTACTTAAAAAAATATGTATCATTCAGTCGTGAAGTGATTGTGCACTTCCAATATTTTAGGTTTTTTTTTTCTAGTTTTCTAATTTCACTTAATTCATTTAGTTTATTTTAAAATTATTGATGTGTAATTAATATATAATGTATAATTAATATACACTAATCTTATAATCTTAAGTACAGTTTAGTCAGTTTTAATAATATATACTTTTGCAGTTACCATCACAATTAATATACAGATGTTGTCTATCAACCCTAAATGTTTACTTATACTCTCTCTTGGTCAACCCTCTGCCCCATCACTGGCACCAGACAACCCAGAATTAGAAACTTTATGTTTAGTTAGGTTTCCTTTTTTTATACAACTGGAATTATACAGTATGTACTTTGTATCAGGGTTTTTCTGCTCAAAATAATGGTTTTGAGATTTTTTCATGTTAGTGCACATCAGTAGTTTGTTGCAAATACCAGCAGTAGTTTTATTGCTAAATAGTCTGTTGCCTGGATATATCACAATTTGTTTATCTGTTCACCTGTTTAGGGACATGTGGATTCTTTCTAGTTTTGCGCTGTTATGAATGAAGCTCCAATGAACATCCATGTATAAGTTTTTAGATGAATATTTATCTTTATTTCTTTTGGATAAATAGGAGTTGAATTTCTGGGTTACATGGTGAACTTATGTTTATATTTATAGGAAGTACTTTTTTTTTGAAGTAGTCTTGCCATTTTACATTTCCACCAGCAGTGTATGCGAGTTTCAGTAGCTCTACATTCTTATTAACACTCTGCATTGTTAGTCTTTTAACTACCCTAGTGGGCATCTAGTGGCATGGCTTTGTAAACTCACCTTTTCCTGATGACTGGTAACATAGGCATCTTTTCATTTGCTCATAGATCATTCTTAGATTTTCTTTTGTAAAGTGTCTATTCAAATTTTCTGCTCCCTTTTAAAAAATACTTTAAGTTCTGGGGTACATGTACAGAATGTGCCAGTTTGTTACATAGGTATACACATACCATGGTGGTTTGCTGCCCATCAACCCATCACCTGCATTAGGTATTTCTCCTAATGCTATCCTTCCCCTAGTCCCCTAGCCCTGCAACCCCATGACAGGCCCTGGCATGTGATGCTTCCCTCCCTGTGTCCATGGGTTCTCATTGTTCAGCTCCTGCTAATGAGTGAGAACATATAGTGCTTGGTTTTCTCTTCCTCTGTTAGTTTGCTGAGAATGATGGTTTCCAGTTTCATCCATGTCCCTGCAAAGGACATGAAC